TCTGTGTCACTGCCAGGACGTTTCAACGAGGAAGTCGAATGTGATCTTTTCTTTTACAAACAGGAACACATTGTCTTTCACATCATCGACCGTTGTATTCGCTGGGCAGCTGGCACAGAGATTCCTGATAAGACTATGCACGCTGTTCTCGATGCCTATCACACAACTTGGATGCAACATGGCCCTGCTAAGATCCTATACTCCGATGGGGAAGGAGCGCTGAATAACGATACAGCAAAGGCCATCCTTAAATCCAAGGGAACAGAGCTTCGTATCCGAGCGCGTGGCCAGCACGCCACGACTATCGAAGCTAGGAACGGCATCCTGCGACACCTCATACACGTGATGGGAGAAGAACTGAATAGATTGAACATCCCTCTGAATTTCACTCGTCTCTTACATGAAGCCTTGTTTGCCAGCAACGCATTTACCTTCTACAACGAAGTGTCTCCGTATAATGCGCTGTATGGCAGACAACCAGCTATGCTTCCCGATTTCCCTGTCCTGGATCATGATCAGTCCGCTGAATCATCAGATCACTCAAGGGAAGAGACAATCAGGAGGGTTAGTCTGGAGGCAATCACGCAGGCCACTGCGGTTGCCAAGACGAACAGGGCTCTCCGTACGAAGACTACTGCTACGGGTGAATTTCACTACAAAGAGGGAGATCTCGTGGACTATCATCGCCCGACCACCACGAAAGACGACTGGGGTGGATGGAGTGGTCCATACCCGGTCATCCGCAACGAACCTGACCGAGGCCAGGTCATCGTGAAGGTCGGCAATCGCGAAGTGCGAGTACAGTATCCTGACTCGCGACATACGCTGTACATCGAAGCACTGATGGTCCGCGATATAGGATCGGACAATACGGCCCTTCGGACAGTATTGGCCTTTATTGCCGGTCTGCCAGCGGGGAAACCCGCTATGACTTTCGGATACCTACTAGCGAAACAGGGCCGACTGCAGATGACTGCTGCGAGCCGGCTTTCGCCTAAGGTGCACTTGGCTCTTCAATATCTCATTCGCAACTATTTTCGCATTGAAAACGTGGTTGTTGTACGACTTGCTAAGAGCCTGACTAAGTTGCCTGCTGCACCATATGCAGACAGCTGTACACTAGTGCACTATGATAACGATGTGACCCCTGGCTTTCATTATTATGAAGCTGATGGCACTGCCTTGAACATCTACGACATCACAGGGTCTACACATTCACGCATCATCCAGTGTCTTAAATCCAAGAAGCCGCTTGCTGGATTCGACCGAGACCTCACTAAGTTTGAGGAACTCGCTGATGGCGCACCACCAAGCGAGCCACCTCCAGCAGCTGCTCCTGAGCAGCCTCCCGCGGCGAATGATGGTCGGCTCCCGACCATCATAGAGGAAACAGAAGAGGATCTGGATGTCTTTGTCTTGGAGTCATGGTATGCTGAACTGATGGATGAACACTCCTTGAAGCTGACACAGAAGAAGTCATGCACACAGTTCCGACATACATGACAGACTCACAGTGCGTGTTGGTCTCTACGACCTGTGAAGATGTGCAAGGCCACTTGCCGGCGCGGGGTCACCCGCCAGGGCACGACATGGACACCTCTTACTACGTCCCTCTGTGCTCCACTGATCTTTGCAGCCACTATGATCTGGACTCCGACGAGCACGGGAAGTACATCGAGCTTTGCTTCACAGCAGACATGTCCAAAGTCGTCCTGTCCGAGCAGCAACACCGATTGTTGGATGACAGCAGCGTCACAACTATGCGAGTATATGTTAGCGCCGCCTCCAAACGTGCCGTGGTCGTCAAAGAAGACGACCTACTCACGAAGGCCGACATTCAAGCGAATCCGGTCAAAGTTTCCAAAGCCCTTTACACAGAATTGAAGACTTGGCTTGACAACAAATGCTTCCAGATGACTGACTTGAGCAAAGCGTCGAACATCATGACTTCACGCTATGTATACAAATGGAAGTTTGTCAAGAACGAGAAGGGCGAAATGGAACGGACGATCAGGTTACGCTTGGTACTTCGTGGCTTTATGGACATTGAAGCCTTCGAGGTCGAAACCTTCTCTGGCGCGGCAAGGAGGTCAAACCAGAGATTGCTCGCAAGTTCTGCTGCATGCAACAAAGCTTGGATCGTCGCTTCCCTGGACATCAACATGGCTTTCTTGAAGGGACTGACTTATGGCGAGCTCGCCGCGGCAACTGGCGAGAAAGAGCGTGCGGTGTGCTTCACACTACCTCCTGGGTCAGCAGCTGTCCTTCGCACATTGCCAGGCTTTGAGTCATATGACGAATCAAAGCATTGTCTTCGGTGCCTCAAGCCGGGGACTGGCACGAAGGATGCTCCCAGGGCATTCTCGCTGAAGCTCAGGTCCGTCACTAGGAGCTTTGGACTACAGCCTACTTCATACGATGAAGAGTTCGAGATGAGTTCAAACCTCTTGACAGCCAAACACGTCGATGACATCAATATGACTGGGAAGGAAGATTCCATTGACAAGTACGTCAAATGTGTTGAAGATACGTTTGGAAAGTGCAAACTGAACAAGCACACATACACAAATTGTGCCGTTCGGTACAACAAGACCGATGATGGGAGCGTCACTCTTGATCAGGACGAATACATCAAACAACTTCGTCCTATCACGCATCCAGAGCTCACAGGCGCTGATCCTGAGAGCAAAGCGACAGAGACGATTTCTGATATGTTCGTCAGTCTTCGTGGCGCTCTAGCCTATGCGTTGATCACGCAGGTATGGCTGATGGTCTATGTTGTTTCACTGCAACGTATCCAGGAACCGACAAACATCCAGGTGCGACGACTGAACGCGGTTACCAGGAAATTGCAGGCAGGTCCGAAGAAGATCGTGTATCAAGCTATGACTCCAACAGGAGAGGTCGACCTGCATAGCGATTCTGGCTATCGTCGTCTCAACGGAGATGAAGGCGACGAAGTCAAGGGCTACGGTATCCGCGGGGCTAACCTGCTGAGGCGTGGCCACACGCTAGCGGGGAAACCCGTCGTGCACCTGGTGGACGCATACTGCAAGTCCCATCGACTGCAGGTGCGTTCGAGCTACTCTGCGGAAACACTGGCAGCAGCCCACAACTTGGAAGACTGCTACCCGACCATTGTAACGCTCCACGAGCTACACTCGGGACCATTGACCCCCGCACAGTTGAAGAACATATTGGAACTGGGTGGTCTATGTATCAAAGTCACTCTGACTATTGATGCCGAGTCTGTCTTCAAGTCTTTGTCTAGCAAAGATCTGAAGAAGCCCACAGAATGCACTCTGCTTGGGCACATCAGCTGGGTCCGCCAGATGATGGAGCGCGGAATCGTTGAAAGCGTCCAATGGTGTGACACGCGGGATATGACTGCCGATGGTCATACCAAAGGTAGTATTGACCGCGCGTTGCTCCTACAGGTAATGGCCGGTCAGCAATCCTTCAAGCACGAGCTGAAGAAACATTTTCCGCATAGGGCGGGCAGGTCGTCTCAGGACGGCCCTGCCTCCCGAGCTAGCGGGGAAACCCGCGCGCAGGTGCGCTTTAGTAGCGAGGAAACTCGCCGGTAGCGAGGCTACTCGCGCGCCCTTGCCTTGTAGGCAGCCGCTGTTGCCTAGCATTGTTTTTTCCGCGTAGTGTAGAAATTCGGTGCTTGCTCGTCTCCTCCCCCTCCAACTTTAAACGGAGAGGGTTAAAGGCGAGATGTAAATCGAGCATGCGCCGCTGCCGTGCCTGGCTCAAGCCGGGCCCGGCCGAACATGTGATTGTGCCTCACCGAGGCGCACTACTCGCATCTGAGATCGGAAAAGACCTTTCTATTGAAGATGCCCCTTCTATCCTTTACTCCAGATCCCATGCTTCATCTTGCTCTCTTGCTCATGCGGTATGAGCCAAAGCCTGGGTGGGATATGGGAGCGCCTAAGGCGGAACATTGGCTTACCAGTGTGTTTTCGACTATGTTGTGTAGACAAGTTATGAGACCAATCGATAATGAGCCAAATGGAACGGTTCTCAGAGAGATCGATGTAGGTACGTTGAGACCGATATATCGTAAGATCGATCGGTATATTGAGAGATATATGTAGATTGATCGCGGAACCGATAAGTTGTACTATTTGAAATAACCCCCGTTTGTACATTTGCTATCCCCCCGCGTAATGTTCTTATCACCCGAAGGGTAGTCTCATGCAGCCAAATAATCGGCATTGCGCCTTGGCGTTTTGTTGTGGTCCCCAGGCCGCCGGAGAGCCCCACAACGGTTCCAGAAGTTCCTAAGAGTGTCCAAGAGGGCCCCGGGACTGTCAAGACGGATCCAAGAACGCCCAAGATGCTCCCAAGAGAGCCCAGGGGGGCAACAATGTTGCCCGATATGTTGTCAAGATTCCCAAAAACGCGTTCGAGACGCCCACTGAGAGTCCCACGAGGACCCCCAAGGGGGCTTCCAGATGCCAAAATCATTGATCTGTTTCAGGTTTTCCAAGGAGCCCGAATGCGGTCTACAGGGCCCCAAGGCAGCTCAAGAGGCCTCCACGCCGTCTAAGGACGGACTCAGGAGGACCCCCAAGAGGGCTTCAATACGTCAAAGGATTTCCTGCGCCAGAAGCAGAAGCGCGCGTTGGCAGTCTTCGACTCACGCAGCTCCGTGGATCTGATCTACAGGTCCACATCGATGTGTATAATATGTATGCATTTGACGGGTCAACCTGATGGTTATGTTGGTGTTGCTTTTTTCCAACCAAATCAGAATCTTGGTAATCCTCCATCCTCAGTCTACTCCCTCACGCCTCCTCCTTTCCTATTCCCCTCCTGCTCCCCTAGAATATCCTCTCCGTCTCTTCTGTACTCTCTCCTCCTTTCCCCCATCCCTCCTTGCCTGTGTTCTCCTCCTCTTTCTCCCCGCATTCCCCCCTCACATCCCCTCCTCTCTCGTATTACCGTGCCCATGCCCTTCCTGTCTCATCTCGCTCTGCTGCCTTGACGAGGCAACGATGGAGACGCCAGAGCTTACCTCCGCCACACCGGTGTCTTTCAAGAGGACGCAGGCGGTGGTGGTGCATGGGCCCGGGAAGGACTAATGGCGCGGCGAGAAGCCCAGCGCAGATGTCTATTTATCTGCTTCTTGTTCCGTCTTTCACCGTCCTTTTCGTCATCCCACCCCCATTCATTCATTTAATCCGCCTCATCCTTCTCCTCCGTCCGTGTCTCTCTCCTCGGTCTCATGCGTCGTCCTCCTCTTCCCCCTCGCCAGTCTTCCTCCCCTCGTTGTCCTTTTCGGCATGGAGGGCGACGATGACCAGGTTTTCGCAGGCTTGTGGATGCTTTCGTCACCACGGCGGGACGCAGTTTTGATATGTTTCGTTGTATGGTGCTTCGGGAGGTCGGGGCCTGGGGTGTTTTCCCGCACCTGGAGGGCGACATTCTTTCTCACATGTAGGCGTCGTGGAAGAGCACGACCCGCGTTTTCTGAATCACATGACTATATCTTGCGCCGCTTCGGGCCTTGCGACCCTCCCCCATCGACCTGGCTCGAAATATCCAGCAGATAACTGCATGGTCAGAAGCTCCAGTCGTGTTTTTGTTCGCGAGTGTCGGTGATGTCCACGGTGTCGAATCGCTCGCCTTCAGCATCCTGGTGTCCTTCCACGGCTACTTCTGGGTGCTGGTGTATTTACCGCTTGTGTTCGTGCAGGTGCGCTCCTTCATCGCGACAGATGCACACAGGGTTCTGATTGTTCTTGCAGGTAAGGAAGCGTCGAGGTTTAACACATTCTCACTCGTTCATCCCCCCCCTTCCCCGTCCCTTTCTCACTCCTCTGGGGTCGGGGAGGCGCCCGTGGCCCTGATCCCTCGAAGGCCCCCCAGAGTTCCCGCAGGGGTGCCCTTGATGAGGGCCGTGCGGCCAAGAGCCGAAGAGTGCGAGCACATTGCGCAACGAACGGTTTGAGTAGGCCCCCCAGACTTCCGCAAGATTTGCAGCAGTCGTTGAGGCATGGCAGACGAAGCAGATCAGAATTGAATGAGTTGGATTCGAGTTCGGATTCGGATCTCCTCTTCCGCCCCTTCCTCCGTCAATCCCTCCCCCATGCTCCCCCCGCTCCCGCTTCCTCCGTTGTCCTTTTTCTCCTCCTCCTCCTCCTCCTCCTCCTCCTCCTCCTCCTCCTCCTCCATCTCCTCCTCCTCCTCCTCCTCCTTCCTCCCCCTCCTCCTCCTTCTCCTCCTCCTCCTCCTCCTCCTCCTCCTCCTCCTCTATCTCCTCCTCGTCCTCCTCCTCATCCTCCTTCCTTCTCCCCCTCCTCCTCCTCGAGCCCCCACTCATTTTCTCCTCCTCTGCCCCCGTCCCTCCGTCCTCCCGCCCCCTCCTCTTCGGGGAGGCGGAGGACGAGGACGAGGGAAAGGGGGGGGGAGAAGGTAGGAGACAGGGAGGAGAGCGGAACCAGAGTCGCGCGCTCGCGATTCTGCCTTCTCACCTGCCCGCGTGTCCATCGGGGGGCGTGGCCGGGCTGGGCCGGAGGGAGGAGGTGGGCGGAAGAGGAGGAGGAGGAGGAGGAGGAGGAGGAGGAGGAGGAGTCCTCTCCTCCCTTCCTCGCCCCCTCCGAGCCACGTGGGCCAGCGCCCAGGACTCCAGGACCTTCCTCGCCCGCTCCCTCGCTTGCCTGGTGCTCGGCGGAGGGGGGGGGGATGGGGGCGTGTGCGCAGGAGCTGGGCTGCGAAGAGTTCGACTGTCAGAAGGCTTACCTGGGCTCCGACGGGAGCCTTCCGCGCAGGGGGGCCGGCGCGCGGTCGGAGCTGGGAGGGGGTGCGAGTCGGTGCGCACTCAGCGGGTTTGAGAGTTTCGGGGAAGCGCAGACATGGATGAACGCGCGTGGATTAGCGGCGGGTCCCGCCTTCCATGCGACATTTGTACGCCCCGTCGCCGACTCAGGTGGCACAGGACTTTTGTTTCGGGGAGGCCTTCCCCGATCCGCGGATCTGTGATCCATGTTGACCTGCGCCCGAGGGCTGACGGGGTTCGGCCAATTTCTTCTGATTCCCCGCTGGCCCAGTGTTGGACGCTACGTACTATCGGCCAGCCAGGATTCGCGTCATGGCTTTGGTTGACCTGGGTAAGCGCTGACGCAGGTCAGCGCGTCTCCGATTTAAAAAGACAAGCATGTCTCGTCGAGGTGCGTGGGCGTGTTTCCTTCGGGGCACTCCTGGGGCCGTCTGGGAGCCCTCTTCTCGGACCTCCCGTTGGGCTCGATTGGGTCATTGTGCATGGGGGCATAATAGTCCCCCAGGAGCCCCGCTCGGAAACGAAAGTGTGAAACTGAGATCAATCCATTATGTTTTGGAATGACTTGGGCCTCTGGGGGCCTTCCACCCTCGCTCCTCTACCCTCCCTCCTCTCTTCCTGCTCCTTCATCCCGCCTCCCTCCTTCCCTTTCCTCCGTTCCTCCTCCCTCCGCCGCCCCCCCTTGCAGGCTTCTCGCTCCTCCATAATTCCCACCTGCCTCCTCGCTACTCACTCCTCCACCCCCCCTTTTCGTTCCTCTATGTTCCCTCCACCCTTTCCTCTTGTGCCAAAAAACATCGGCGCTTGCGACCCCCAATTCAGTTGTCATGAGTACTTTCCCGTGGTTCCCCCGTCTCTGTGTTTTTTCCCCGAGTTCGGTGGTTTTTCCGAATTCTCTTTTGTCGTTGCATCGTGATGCATTGCAACTCGAACGGGATCCTTCTTGCCTCTTCTCACCCCGTGCCTTGCCTATGCCTGATGTTTGGCATTCTCCGCCGTTTGACCTTAAGGGATGCATCCCAGCGCGCCCGCCCTTAGACTTGCCTTTAAGCTCGCTTTACCGCTCTTCACATCCTTTCTCAGTTGTTTAGTTTATAGAGGGTTTTCGGCTCCCATACCACTGTCGCAATGGTTTCTCGTTCTCGCGTCGCTTCGGCAACACAGGCTCCAACCCCCATGCCGCCTCACATCGTGACGCGATACATCCAGCTGGCCATATCGCTGGACACCCGCTCTCGTGCACCTGAAGGACGCCAGCCGCGCGCCGGGGCTCTCAGCGATCCCCCCAGGGATTGCGTTGACTACAACAGCTCGGCTCGCGGGCCCCACGATGTCAATGCACCCGCCGAGCCGCAAATGTCACATAGCTGTTCGATACAACGTTCACATTTACGTTGTCACTGAAGGGCCCCGAGCGTCTGGCGACTGTTTCACGAGAGCGCTGGGTACAAAAGGCAAACAACAGTGGGAAGGCAATGGGGAGTTCGGCGACTGTGTCGCCAGCGCTCCGAGGTACAGCGCATCGGAACGGGGAGAACCATAGGTGTGTTCCCTGGTACACGACCTTCCGCGTTACCCACTCGTTCCCTGCAGCCCTGAAGGACTGGGTCCCGATGCGCATTTTGTTGGACGATCGTGCAGTTGGCGGCGTTCAGTAAAGTGGCAACACGGCGTACGAGAACCATTCCCGTGATTGTGTCACGGGATGCATCGAGTACCGAGAGCGCCATTCACTCGACGGAAGTGTAAGCCAAATTCGCAGACGAGGAGGAACATATCCAGGGCACGTGGTTATCCGCGGCGGCTCGGAGGCACATTTCCCGCGCAGCGCCGCTGGTGGATCTCCGGCCGCCAGCGCCACTGCGCTCTGCGAGACGCGGGGGGAGCTACACTCCTCATGGAAGGCCATCGGAGCGGGCGTGATTGCCATCGCCAGCTGCATCTCCTGCATGGACGCAACCGGGGGCAGCGGCAACTCCGCACCTTCGAGCAGCAAGCTCGCGTGCCCATCCAGAAATGGGCGCGGGATGTAATAATGTAGCCAGTGGCGAACTCAGACTTCAACGGGTTTCGCCAGGCGGCCGACGCCTCGTCGCGCCTCACCAGAATTACACGCGAGTGCGTGGACGAATGGCCTCCAGCTGCCTTGATCCAGGGAGGGCTCATCAACGGCAGCCCGGTGCCATCGATGACTCAGCTCCCTGATGCACAATTTGGCTGGCCAGCGCGGGGTCGACTTGGCGAGGTGGGGCGCATTTCCGCACTGCCAACGCCTATGAATTTCCATCGAAGGCCGCAAGAGCGCGTCGACGACCTCCTCAAACGACTTGACATCCTTCGCAACCAGGCGCATCAGGCTGGTCCGCCCATGATCGGCTACGAGTGCCACGGCTTCCTCCTTCTGCGCGCCGTTGGCGCGTCGAACTTCCAACTGGCCATGTCCCTGCGGCATTCCAACGCAGCCTACCCCGCGAACGCCCAGCGGCCCACGCGCGCGACGCGCTAGCTGAGGGGTCGCCGGGCAACCTCGCCTCGGCGGCCCACTCTGCCCAACGGCGCACTTCTCTTATGAATGCGCCCGCGCATGTTCCGGCCCAGGGCGCCCGTGGCGCCGCGGCAGGATCGAGCCGAGGCGGCGCGGGCCCAGTTGCGCCGGGGTCCCCCACCAACAGGCGACGATTCAGCGGCCGACGCTGACGCCATCAGCTCCTCCGGCGGGCATCGCCGCAGACGGTCCCGATTTGCGCGACGGCCCCCGGGAACAGCGCGGCGCGCGCCTCGCCCGGGCTTGCGAATGCGCCGAAGCACGCAGGCGCAGATGCAGCGACCTCGCGCCCGCGCGGCGCGCCCAGAGGGTCGTCGAACGAATGGGCGAGGGCCGCGCCAGGGCCACCGCGTTCACCTGGCCGTCGTGCCCAAGAACGACTTCCAGGACGCGTTCGTGGGCTTCGGGAAGGGGAAGCGTAAAGGCCCAGGGAAGTCCAGGGCCAGCGTCGTGGGTTCGGGCCGCCGTGCTCAACCCGCCTGCCCTGGCGGGGTGCGCCCCAATTGCCACGACTGCGACACTGCGGGGCGCATCGTGCGCGACTGCGCCTGGCGCCGCGACCGAGGGCGCACCTGTTCCTTGGCGCCAGCGCCCGGCGCCGTCGTCAGCGCCAGCGCCCTCGCCGCTCGCGCTTCCGGGGCAGCGGGGGCCGCCGGGCCCGGGCGAGCAGCGGGCCGCGCCGGGAGCGCATGCGGGGGCACCTCCAGGACCCCGCAGCCCGCGGCCCCAGGCACCTGGGAAGGCGATCCCACGCAGGGCGCCAACCGCTGGAACAGCGGACAGCCGACTCCAGCAGCGGCAGCGCCACGGTCAGCAGCAACGGCCGCTCCAAGCGCGTCGTCAGACGGCTCTCGGCAACAAGCCGGCCGCAACCATTGGTCGAGATGCGTCGGTGCACAATTTTTCCTTCGTCCTTCCCCAGCCCATCGCGACGTCGAATTGCGACGATGGCGACGGGGCGCGACAACTCATGGGCCGCGTGCGAGGCTCTGCGCCACCAGCGGGGCCCGCGACTGCGTCGCCGGCACGCGCGGCAGAATCGGGGGAGGTGGCGCGAGCCACGCCGGCAGCGCCGACATCTCCAGCAGCGCCAACAACACCGCCGCAACCAACGCCGCGACGGTGGACGCGAGTGGGCCGCGAATTCCCATTGGGGCAAGCACAATTGCTCGACCTGGGTAGGCGACGTCAACGCACGAGTCGCCGCGCCTCTGGCCACGCTTGCCGACGCGCGCTTGCCGAGCTGGGCGCTCGCGCCTTCAGTCTCAGCCCTCGGCGATCGCGCCCCGCGTGGACTGAGCTCCACGCGGCCGCCGCAGTTGGCGCCGGTAGCCCCGGCAGTCGCGTCGCCGCCGGCGCTGGAGTCTCCCCTGGAGCTGGTCCTATTCAACCCGAACAGCTCCGTCGACCCGGGCCAACCGTCTGAGAGAGCGGCCGCGTGGTTCGCCGGCCTCGAGACCCAGATTGCCAGCGGCGGCCGATCCGAGCACGACGAGGGCCCCGCCCTCGACCAAGCACAACGACGGCAGCTCTGCGAGCTCCACAGCGCAGAGCTGGCCGTCGAGCTCGCGCGGCAGCAGGGCGAGCGGCGAATACAGGCCGCACAGAGTCGGACAGAAACCTTCTTCAATCCCCCTCCTGTGCCGGCCGCAGCACTTGCCGAGCCCCCCCAGATCGCCCAATGCTCATTTTTTCTAGCTGCGCTTCGCAGGGCCCGCTCGCGAGTTTTCTAAGCCGGCGTCGGTCGCGTTGCGCGCGCGATCGAAAGCGCCGCTGGACGCCGGCAGCGCTCTGACGACACTGGTTTCGGCGCTGTCGAATTTGAGGCGCGTCGTCGCTGCCGATTTCCTGTTCGGAGCTACCGGGCTTTGTGATCGTCGTTTTCGAATTTTGCGAGCTGTCGCTGGACTTTGACGCGCGCGGATGTCGGTGGCAGTGGTGATTGCGCAGATTCTCGAGTCACCGATCGTCGCGTTGCCGATTTGCGCGGTGCCATAGTTGATTTCCCGCCACCGAATGCTGTGTCCCTGCTACCGATTTTCGCGTCGGCTTCACTGCCGAATATCGTTCCCACGCTTCCGAATAAAACCCTCCAGCGTACGCGCGCATTCGCAAAATGTCCGACACGACCGACAAAAATGCAACCCGGTCGCGACCGAAAGTCGACGAGCGCCCAGATCGCCACCGAGAATAATCGGCGCGGGAGGATTTGTGTTCTCAGTCGCAGCTGTTACCAGCGGTAACAGCCAGCGTCTTATCTGCCTTTTGTCCACCCAGCACGGCGAGAGCGTGGTGCACCTGCAGAGCCGCCGCATCCTGCACCAGGCAGACCATCTGCCGCTGATGCAGAACACAGGCACTCGCTTGGTGCACCGCCCGGCGCACCGCGGCCTGGCCGACCACATCGCCGATTTCCGCGCGATTGTTGCAGA